TTCCTTCCTTCCTTCCTTCCTTCATTCATTCATTCATTCATTCATTCATTCATATCCCACCCATCTAGTCAACTGACTACTTTGGGCGGCTTCCAACACATATAATAACAATAGTAAAATATAACAACATTTAAACATCAGTAATAGAGTTATTCAAGATGAAAAGAAATAGGGGAAAAATCAAATAATAGCTGAGGGGAAGGCATGCCTAAACATTCAAGTTTTCAATTGGTTTTTAAAGATGCCCAGCGAAGGGACCGCACTTGTTTTGCTTCATAGGTTTTTGCTGGCTGTGGCTCCATGGTGGATGCTCTCATTGTTTGCTTTGTTCCCTTGGATTTTGGGAGGATTTTCTCCTGTTTCTTTGGATTATTTTCGCTACTGCTTTAGGATTATTTTCTGGATTCCCATTTCCCCCAAGATTTGTTTGAAGATTTTCTCTCTCTTAGGTTTTTTTTTTGGGGGGGAGCAGGATCATTTATCTTCTTTGAATTATTTTTGCTGCTGGCTACTGGAGAAGACAAGAGAAGGCATCAAATGATTGTCTAATCTGGTGGAAGGTGCTTTGGTTAGGAAGATTGTACAGTGGAGTGAGAAAGGAACTCTTTTTTTCGTCTAAGGTCTCAGTAATTCAAGCAAAATGTCTCTGCACAAAACTATTGCATTTCCCTTAGATAAGCAAATAATACATACACATAAACAAATAGATACACATTAAACACAGAAATATAGGGCAATTGTTCAAATAGCCTATCTTTTATGGTGGAAGTCATGTTCATAGGAAACCTCCAGTGTGGTGCTCGGCAAAGAATGTTACCAATTGATATATATATATATGTGTGTGTTCAAATTAGACCAGATGAATCAAAGATCTGATCAATTACATAAGAATATTTCATGCAGTTAGATCATGTATTTCAATCAGATGCGAGCAGAGCATACAGGATAGAGTTTAGGAGAGAGGCCCAGGACCCTGATCAGTAGGATAAGCAGACAACTTCCTCCATGGAGCAGGGCTGACTTGCCACATTTAAAGTAAGAAAAACAATAATTTGTTATTGAGAGAGCTCCCTCCAAGCTTCTATCAAGTGAGATAAATAATATATCCAAATAAGTGTAAGGGAAGGAGGACTAAGATCATTAAATCCAGAGTCTAAAATTACCTAAATACATTTGTATCAGCTACTACAATAATACAGATGCCGTCATAAAATAAAAATAAAACAATCAACCAAGTTTCCAGGATCTTTATGGAAGCTAGCCTGATGCAGCTTTCAAAATGATGGTCCAGTGGATAGATACCATACATCTTAGGTTAAGGTGTTCTCAAAGGTTATGTGGCAAATATGTCTGCAAAGTTCTGTTATTTGTTATAAGAATGAGATTTCTGTGAGTTAGAAATAGATCTAATTTCCTCTAGTCATCTTAAAATCCTTGCTATGAATAGCACTTGGGGTTCTTTTTAATTCCATGTTCAGAAACACTTCATCCTCTTAAGAAATTCAGTGCAGAAATTTAATTACCTACATTTGTTTTCTCCTGCATTGTCTGTGTTCCTCACAACCTCACTCAGAGAGCAGCTGGACCTATTCTTATTGAATACTCCCTAGCATATGTTAATATTAAAGGGGAAAGGCTGGGTCCTCTTTTGACCTTCTCAAGAACATTGCAAGGGGAAGGCAAACATCAGGATCTTCTCAGCTCAGGGCACAAGTAAGCATCAGCATCGGATCTGAATGGCAGCTGACCTCTTCTGTACCCTAGACGCATGGAACAGCTGAACAGATTTACATCTGGAGCTACTTTACTAGCCACAGAGGGCTTTTTCTTTTTTTGGACTACTTCTCTGAGATTTCCCCTCACCATCATGGTCACCAATAGCTCAGTGTTATTTGCTCTGTCTCTGTTTGGTGGTAGTTCTTCAGGGTCTCAGACAAAGAGGTTCCTGATCATATAAAGTCCAAAAATCATCCTGGTCATCTTGGGACTTCATATTTCATGACTTTAGCATCTGGCCAGGATTTGTTGTTATTGTTGTTGTTACTACTCCTGATCCTATTATTATTACTACTTTTCTGTTTCTCTTTTACATCTCAAGTTTGTGACACCTAACCAAGAGTTCTGAAGGACTCAAAAGGCACTAACCAATTCTGATTTTTGTTTTTAATTTAACATGGCAGACAGACTTTTCCTGAATGTCCTGCCTCAGCTCACATATCTGCATTAATGCTTATTTTCTCTCATGTTTGTGTTTACCAGAATGCCCAAGCCAGTTATGATTTCAGCAGTAATGACCCATATCCCTATCCTCGTTACACAGATGATTGGTTTAACAGGTAAGAAAGATATCCAGGCAAGTGGCTGATCATGAATTTGTAGTGGTTGCATTTCACAAATGAGCTCAGACTTTTGCCAGGCTGAGGAACTGTTTGAAATACATTAGAAAAGGAACTCGTAGTATTACTTATTACTTTTCAGTAGCCGTGGCTGTTACTTTTATGTTGCACAAATACTTCACTATGTTTTGAATTATTGTTGCATTGCAGTTAAAGTCAGGTGAGAAATAAAGAAAATTACTCTCTGGTTCCCACTAGTGCCCAATTCTGATATTGGGAATGTTTGTAATTTTTTTTTTTAAAAAAAGGGAACCAAAATACCTCACTTGCCATGTAGGATTGCTGGGAGAATGGCATGAAACCTTAAAAACTCCAGTCAGAACGTCTCTAAAAATGTCTTAACATGTCCTTACAAAGTAGCTGTGGAAAGTAACTCATTACACTTAAGTAACTGAGGTTTACTCATTAAACCTAAAAAGCAACTTTCTAGCCACTACAAATGCAGCAACAGGTGATACCACAAACAACAACAAGAAAACAAAAAAATTATTTGTAACTAGTTACCTCCAATCTCTGATTCCCCACCGTGCCTACAGGAAGTAGAGTCAGCCTGTGTAGCCTTGGGCAAGCTCCACGTTCCCATGGCACCCTTAGAAGAAGGGAATGTAAACCAATTCTGCACCTAAAAAACCATGGGAAAGAATGCCATAAGTCAGTATTGACTTTATGGCACAAGATTAGCTTCATCTTTAATAGGTAATGCAGCTTCATCTTGAATGGGCAGCTAAGATCTACATATTAGCTGTTCAAACAGCAGCAGCAACACTGCTGCCAATGATGTTACATGGGATACAGGCATTCTGTGTCATCACACAGTACATATGATGCTGTTATTATTATTTGTTCTATTTACAGGCCAACGTCCTCCCGATAAGAGAACCCAAGGAGGCTCACAATATTAAAATAATAGAATTTAAAATATAAATTACACAATTAAAAACAATTGAACTATACACTAATTGAAATACAAGTGAATAAATAAAAGCAGGTAAACATTAAAAACTTTCTTAACTTCAAAATGGGGGTCTTTTGCAGGATGAATGTGAAAGCAAGGGAGCTGTCTTGTTCTTTGCCCCAGGCAGCCAAATGCCTTCAAAATAAATGGAAGTGTACTACACAACCATAACTGTCAATGGAATTCAACATCGAAACCTGCGACTTTAACCCACTTTCTCTATTATTTATTTCTTCTTTTTTCTCCTACCTCTTCTTCCTGCAAACACCTCATCAGCTTAATGACCTTCTCAGGCTTCAGAATTTATGCCACCTGAATATCTTTGGAAAGGTCCTCATTTCTTTTTAAAGAAATGCGGATGGACCATATTGTAATCATGCAAACTGACAGCTCTCTCTCTCTCTCGCTTTCTTCAATTTGTTCCTAGTGTCAATATTTTCCTTTTCTTTTCTTTTTGTGCCTAGGAAAAAGACTTTTTGCTATTTATGAGTCTTAAGACCCACAGAAACTGTGACCTAGGTGATTTCTAAAATTTCATCTAGATTGTGCTGCTAGTTAATAACATATCAGTTATGGTTGCATGCAGGGTTGCTATTGTTTGTTGGGGGAAAGGGAAGGACAGCTTGAAAGAAGCAAGCAAGCAAGCAAACCTGTTTATACACAGATAAGAACACCCAACCATCCTGTCCCATATTATCTTCAAGTGGGTCCATCCTTTTCTCCGAGGTAGTCAAGCATTTTACTCAGATGGACAGTGGCAACAAGCAGGGTGAATAAGTTGTATGGTATTGCAGAAATAGTATTGTCTGAGTTACAGGCTAACTGAAATAGTGTATAATGTAGTCATGCACAAACTATAGCAATGGCAGTCTGGTAACAAAAGTACAGGATCATTATCATCACTCATCTGCCATCAAGTCAATTCTGACTTCTGGTGACCCTTTTCCAGGGTTTTCTAAGTAGAGACTACTCAGAAGCGCTTTGCTCTTCCCTTCTTGGTAGGGTGCCCTGGGACTGTGCAGCTTGCTCAAGGCCACACAGGCTGGCTCTTCTCCCAGGAGACACACTGGGGAATCCAACTCCAGGCACTATTATTCACCGAGCTATCCAGGCAGCTCATCTAAATATTTAGGTTACTTACATGTTCTGTATTGCATTTTCTACATAGGTTTTCATGCTAATTGCCAAAATTTTGTCCACAGTTAGTTTGTGCATTCTGTTCTTGACTCAGGCTCAGATCCAAAGCACAATCTTCATCGCACCGAGGTCTTGGGCTTGCCCAGTGAAATCTATCCATCTATCTTCTTTGAACAAAAATCTCTGTGTGATGTTCCTGTTTTACTTCCAGCAAACTGTCCCGTAGCCCAGAATATTAGTTGTAATAAATAAATAAATCCAGACCCTTGTACTAGTCATTACTTTTTAGTTAGGTGACTATTGTTCTCATTTGTGGCAGTAATGCATCACATGATGTGCTATCAGTACTTTCCATTGTCCTGATCAGCTGTCCTAGCATGCCAGAAAAATACAAGGAAATACTCTCCAGTGCCCTCAAGTGGCCAATTCTGATACTGTACTTTGAAAACAGGCATCTACAAAAGAGGAGCCGATACTTCCCTTGCCACTTAGGATTTATAAGAGAAAGGTGCAAAGCTTTTATAAATCCCTGTCAATGTGCCTCTAACATTATGCTAAAAAATAGCTTCTGAAAGTAACTTGAAGGCACTGTTTATTACATCAAAAAGTAACGTCGTAAATATTTACTCTGTTACTTTGTAAGTTCCACCCTTGTTACCCAGACACAAGTAAACAAAAAAACAAACAAACAATTATATTACTTGTAACCAGGTATTTCCAATCTTTTAATACCATATGAAAAATTAGTTTCTGCTGTTGGAAATCCACTCTACTTCACTAGAAGTTTGCTTTGTGACAGTCATGGTAAGGGGAAAGTTGTTGTTCAAGAAAAGAATATCTCCCTGGTTTCCTGAAAACAGATATTCTCAGTCTTTCAAAAGGCTGGGCCACAGAAATCTTGACTGAAACACTGTCATATACAACGAATGCATTAAAGCCCTCTCACCTGCTCACCTCTGTGTTGATGTTCCCATGAAGTTTTAGCTGGAATCTCTGTCTTCCTCTGTAGTCATGGGACCAGATGTGCGGGAGAAGTATCTGCTGCAGCAAATAACAACATCTGTGGAGTTGGAGTGGCATATAATTCAAAAGTGGCAGGTAAGACATAAAATTGGGAATATCTGTTGGTTTTCTTCAGCAGCAACATTGGCATTTTGGGTAAAATGTTATCTCATGTAGATCAGTTTAAAGAGTTAAGGCAAGCAGGGCCTCCCTCTTTGATGAACTCACATTTTGGACTGGGGGAAAATGCTGACCACAGTTTGTTTGTTTGCTTGTTTGTCTGACTATCTATCTATCTATCTATCTAAAACTCACGTTTTGGACCGGGGGAAAATGCTGACCACAGTTTGTCCGTCTGTCCATCCGTCCGTCCATCCATCTATCCATCTATCCATCTATCTAGCTAGCTAGCTAGCTATCCAACTTGTATGCCGCCTGCACTCTGCAAGAGTCTGAGAGTCTGAGTCTTTGAGAGTTTGAGCTTTTCCTGTCTGAATGTAATGCTAACCTTTTCATGTTCTCCTGTGGCATTTTCTTCAGTTCACCGTCAATGTTTGTGTTGATTAAATCTACAGGTATTCGAATGCTGGACCAGCCATTTATGACTGATATTATTGAGGCTTCCTCTATCAGCCACATGCCCCAAGTAATAGATATTTATAGTGCCAGCTGGGGCCCCACGGATAATGGTAAGACTGTGGATGGACCACGAGAGCTGACCTTACAAGCCATGGCAGATGGGGTCAATAAGGTAAGGCTCCTGTTTGAAAGCTATTATCTTGTGCCCTATCTTATCTGTCAGGGAATGTTACTTACAAACTGCAGCTTGATAACTGCCTGCAAAAACATCGCTCTCCAAGTCCAAATATTTGAGCCAATTTTCTGATCTATAAGGACACAATATATAGAGCAGGAAAAAAATTGTGGTTTTTTAAAATTAATTTTTGTTAAATTAAACAAAAATTACAGAATAACCAAAAACAAACAAATAAAAAGTAACATACATAAAGAAACATGTTTTTCAATACATGGAAAACAACAATTCACACAACATTACTATAATCGTACTCATAATCCAATGTGCTTCTCATCTGCCCAGGTCCATTAGTAATATTCAGTTTTTCCTCCTTTTACAAGGTCTTGTTTCAAAAAAAATACACAGACTGTTGTGGAGTCACAAACACATTGACTCTTGTGGAACAAGGTCTTGTTCCAAAAAAATACACAGACTGTTATGGAGTCACAAACACATTGACTCTTGTGGAGGTACACAATTCTTTCCCCTTTTTAAATAAAAAAAATCAAGAAATTCTCCCCGTGTATCTCTAAAAATATTCTTATTTATCAAACCTTTCCTTACTTTAATATTACACATCAGTTAATGGCTATATTCCAGACTTCTTTATATCATTCATTTAATAGAAAATGAAGCTTTCCCCACCCCCAGATGGAACAGATTAATGGGGCTTCAATGTATTTTCCCCCCCAGATGGAACAGATTAATGGGGCTGCAGTGTATTTCTATGGGAAATGGTGCTTTGATTTACGACCATTTTGAGTTACACCCATCTTCTGGCATGGATTATGGCTGTAAGTCGAGGCACCACTGTACAGCCATGCTGATATCTATATCTCCTTTGCTTTCAGGTCCATTTTAAAGTAATTTCGGATTATTGAAATGGTGAATATTTGCAAAGACAAATGGGATAGGAAATAGAATTTCAGTATATAATGGGTTGGATCCAGAGATGCTTTCCAAAAGCTGAAGGCCCTTTTTTGACTTGCTTCAAGATCCTTGTAGGGAAAAAAGAGAACTGAATTACAGATACACATATTTCTGCTTGTACACTCATCTGTGAGAGGTCTCTCAAGTTGTGCTAGCAATCCCTTCTACAGCATTGCACAGTGGCTGAAATCCTATTGTGCAGCTCGCTACAGCATTGCACAGTGACTGAAATCCTATTGTGCAGCTCTGTGTCTGCAACAGTGATGACGTTAGCAGTGGTAGCACATCACCACTGATGAAAAGCTTCCATTGGTGATTTCCAGATGCATGTGACTTGGTGCAATCTGTATGAGCACCCCAAAATCCCCTTTTACCAGCCATGATTTGCCTTTAATCAATGGTGATTTGCCACTGATGATGACATCACAGCTGTACATGCAGAGCTGTGCGGCAGGATTTCAGCTGACATCTTCCTGTAGCTCTACCACAGCCATTCGTGGAAGAGCACTCCTGCCAGAATTTCTTCTTCTGGCCATGTTTCAATCCGACCCATTTTTTGACAATATCATAGACATTCTGGATGCAGGCTGAATGGCTGAGAGTTTTGACCCCAAGAGGAGCCTGGAAAACAGTAACTAGAAACAGGGCCTATCGGTAATAGCCCCACAATTCTGGAACGCTTTCCTACCTGATATTCATCAAGCGCCTTTATTGGAAACCATTAAGCGATTATTAAAAACCTTTCTATTTGGACAAGCCTTCTGACAAGGACGACGACATCTGATACAATAGGGCTAAAATAACCAGAATTCACTAATCTTTAACCTCTGCCATGCTTTCTTTCTTTTATTTTAATGTTATATTGATATTGTTTTCATGTGTCAATATTAGAGTTGGGGGTATTGGTATTTGTATACGAATATGAATATCCCCACACAGGTGGCGTTAACTAGGGTTTAGCCCCATGGGGCTGGCCGGTCCAAATGTTATATTTGTTTTCATGTGTCAATATTAGAGTTGGGGGTATTGGTATTTGTATACGAATATGAATATCCCCACACAGGTGGCGTTAACTAGGGTTTAGCCCCATGGGGCTGGCCGGTCCACTCACCGATCAACTATGGATGCGGATGGCGCGATTCTACCAATGGATCCACAGTGCGTGATCCGCTTCCCACTCTTCAACCTTGGAGCAAGGTTCGTCCTCCTGCCTCCTGCCAGGAGTGGCGAGCAGATTGTGCACTGCGAATCCATTGGTATAATCGCATAGTCCATGTCCACAACAGATCGGTGAGTGGACTGTCTGGCCCCATGGGGCTAGACCCTCATTAATTCCACTTGTGCTGGGATATTTGTATTCATATACGAATACAATTCCCCCCATCTCTAGTCAAAATTCCATTGATTATTTTATTTTATTGTCCCATTTTTGTATTGTTTCTCTTTATACTTTGTTTTTGTGGTATTATGTAAACTACTCAGAGTGGCCTGGGTTGCCAGATGGGCGGTATAGAAATTAAATGAATAAATAAATAATAAATTCTAATTTTCCATAATGCAGTGCTAAATAATAATGTTGTGTTGCCTTCAAAACATCCTCCTAGGCAGTGGTGTCGAACTGTGGCCCTCCAGATGTTCTTGGACTTCAACTCCCAGAAGCCTTCACCACCACCTCTGCTGGCCAGGATTTCTGGGAGTTGAAGGCCAAGAACATCTGGAGGGCCACAGTTCGACATCACTGCTCCTAGGTATCATTCCCTCCCCCCAACAAGTTCTATCCTTCTTGTATTTCTTTCCCCATTCATTTCACCTTGGATGAGCAGCTGTAATAATTCATAACATTCGTCTCTCATTTTGTAGTCAAAGCTTTCGAGTCCTTCTTTAATTTAACTTTGATCATGTGACTATGATTCCAAAGTCCAAGATACCTTTATTTTTTTATATGTGCTGCTGGGGAACTTTGATTCTAAAGTACTTACATATGTCAATATGCTACGCACGTTTATTCTGGGTGTTTAGCTGGATTTCTTAGACTGCTTGCTTTTTGCTTCTTAACTTTGCTTTAACAAACAAATAAAGACCTGGCTTTTTACTCAGGTCTTCCACAGTCTTACCCCCTGCTTAATCTTGTATGGGTTGGTTGTCTTGTTTTGCCACTCTCTTTAGTTTAGATTTTCACAGACTTGGCAGGGTTTCTTTCTTTCTTTCTTTCTTTCTTTCTTTCTTTCTTTCTTTCTTTCTTTCTTTCTTTCTTTCTTTCTTTCTTTCTTTCTTTCTTTCTTTCTTTGCTTGATCTTTTAATTCATGGCAATTATTAAATGTTATTTCGTGTCTATGTTGAGGTCATGATTGTAAGCCATCCAGAGTAGTGGCTTTACCAGTTGATGGATGTGGTAGGTAGATAGATAGGTAAACAAACAAACAAACAAACAACTTGAACAGGAACATAAACTGGAACAAGCAGTGGGAAAAAAGAGAGAGTTAGCAGTGGCAGGCCACATCACATTACAGTGGTGTCTCAACTTACGAATGTCCTGACATACAACCATTTTGAGTTACGACCAGCTCCGGCTGCAAAATGTTGCTTCAACTTGCGGCCGGAACTTCGAGTTACAGCCGCAAAAGAGGCAGAAAAAAAAGGTGGGGAATTCAAATTGCTAACCGTTGGTGGCAAAGAGGCTGCTTCTTTGTAGCTCTTTCACCCCAGCAGTTAGAGAGTGCACAATCAGAGGAGATTTGGGACTTCCTGGTAAGGTAAGGTGCTGCTTTCTATTTTTAAAAAAACTGTTCTGGGTGGGTTTTGCAACGTGGTTTTGGGCTGGGAGGTGGGATTATATTTCTATGCTGTGATGGGTCTTGTGGGGTTTGTTTGCTTTCTACTTTGCTTTTTTTGCATTTCTGATGGGTCTTGCATGGTTTGTTTGCTTTTCTTCCCCCCCCCCCTTCGGCCAGAATGGATTAATTGCATTTCCAATGGGTCTTGCAGTTTTTTGGTGGTTTTTTTGTGATTTTTTTTCTTTGGCCGGAAAAGATTAATTGCATTTCAATGCATTCGTATGGGAAATGGTGCTTCGACTTATGACCATTTTGAGTTACGACCAGAGTTCTGGAACCAACTAAGTTCGTAAGTCGAGGCACCACTGTAATTTTTTTAAAAAAAGTCAGTGGGTGAAGCAGGGCAATGTTGTGATAAACGTGTTGTCTAAACCACCCAAGGATTGAAGTATTTACCACAACAGTGTCCAAAAACATTAGCTCACTTGCTTAGGGAATTGACCGGGTATTTTTTTTAATGGCCAATTAGAAGCTATGCATATGATTGTCACTGCTGACAAGCTTGCTGTTAATTCTGAGTCTCCTTTCATGACTGTATTTTATAAATCAACATCAAGGGCTTTTAATTAACTGGTTAGCCCTATCAGCATATGCTATAAGTTGTTTTATAACTGATGTTTCATAGACGTTATTGATAGGAAAAACAATTACTTTTTCTTCTCTGCTTTCTTATGTCTGGGGCATTGACAGTGCTTGTTTCCTTCTGACACTTCAGCCGCACAGCTTGCTTTTTAAACAAACTGCAGTAAGAGGTTAATCAGGAACAGAAAAGATAAAACAGAACCACTTGCTTTCAATTTGCCTTTTCCCACCTGAATGCTGTCTTTGAAATTGGAAAACAATTTGAGAGCGTGCCCTCAAATTGCATCTGCCAATTTCTTGTTTGGCAGAAGAAGAGAAAAAAGGAAATATTTATGGAACATACATACATTTTGGAATTGACTTACTTGTGTTGGCCACAACCAAAAAGGGCACAGTCTTTGCGTATCCGGTGTCTTCCTTCCCCTCCTCCTCTCAGAAACTTCCCCTTAAGTTTTTCTCCCAGTCTTGGGAAGAAGAGTCAAAGAGAAGATTGGGGTTCTCTGGATGTAGTGGCAAGGAAAATGAGCTGGTGGAGAACTACACCAGTGGCTTTGCACATCTTTCACATGACATGGCTTTGGGTTTTTTTGCTCACACACACACACACA